GGAGGCATTTATTTCCACAAGTACTAGTGGCTTCCTGCCAGAAATCTTTTCAGTACTTTCTAAACAGTAAGGAGAACTGCGTGAAGAAGGACACAGGATGCTACATTTGGTGCTGAACATGTTCTTCTGAAGAAACCTTCCCTGGTGAGTGTATCATATATTGTTCAAAGGGTTCCTTGGGTCACAATCCAAATCTGGGTGAACAACACCCTTTACAAACAAAACAAAATTCTTTCTTGAGGATAAAAAAGTGTGGGGGGGGGAGAAAGGGGAATATTTCATGATCCATATCTTGTTTTCTTTCCTTTAGTCATGCAAAATGATCAAGTCTCTAGAAAGAGATCGTGGAGAACCAATCACCAAAATGCTACCTAAGACAGAAAAAAAAAGAGCAGAGGTAACAAAAGCCCCGGTGTTTCCCATACTACTTCATAACGAACAAGTGCCTTTTCTTCTTCTTTCTCTTGTATGATGCCCCACCCCATGCTTATGGTGCCTCCTTGTACTGCTAAACTAGATCACAACCCAAGTGGTAGGCTGTAGAATCTTTTACAATTGAAGGTGTATAGATCCGTGTGTGTGGTGTGTGTGTGATGTGTATAGTCAAAATCAAAACACCAAAAGGATCACATTTATCTATATCATAAAAAACAGCAATTTCCTAGCCATTTACTGCTTTATTTCCAACTTTGGCTTTATAGAGAACTCATGTCAATTTCTGGATATCCCTTTCAGGAAATTTTGAAAATATTATTTATGATATTTGTGATAATAAAATAAAATTAATTAAAATTTATTTGAAAAATAAGATGATTAAATTATTCATATCCCAAATCAAACATTTTAAAGAAAAATAGCAATTAGCATTTTGGTTTAATTTCTCAAGGCATGTAAACAAAATTTTAATCACTTATAGTACTGGGTAGTTTAATTTTCATGAATTATCATGAACACTGTCCTCCATTGGCTTTAAGTCTTCTCTAAGGCTGTAATTTTTGTTGGTGATTTACATAATATGTCTTTTCACTTGTCATACCACGATCTTCCCATGCAAGACTTCTGCATCCTAGAGGGAAAATTACACAACTACTAAAGCATAATTTTACTCAAAATAATGATAGTATATGCAAGTTCATTATTTTTGTTTTCTCTGTTCCCTTATTGGATATTCAGGGAAAAATATTAAATAACAATAATTTTTAAAGGAATTTTAGGAAAATACCTCCAGCATCTCATCATTTGGAATTGTGTTGACCAATAGTTCAGGAATAATCATCTTTATCATTTTAGTGATTCACTTCCTAGGTCTATATTACCAACAGGTTTCATCAAGAAAGAATGTTGTAGGCCATAAATGCTCTTTGATATCTAGTTAGTCAACAATTTGTTTTGTTTTTTAACTTGTTTCATATATTATAATGATATGATTCCTGGCATGAATTAGGAGTTATGCATGTTAATAAAAAATTGACTAATTTTAGTGTACAGTTTGATGTACCATGCATTATTTGCATATATATTCACAAATCAAACTAATCATAGTTTTATTTTCTCTGACAGATTTGGGTAAAAAGCTATTTCAGTTTGAGAAAATAAATTGTAATATTTTTCACATTAAAATGTTATAAGCATATAAAGTACTTTTTTCTTAAAAACAGACATCTACTCTAGGCATTTTGCAACCAGCATCCATTTGTACAATCTAATACTGACAATGGAACCCTACAGTGCACCATAGGGTATGTGCCATACTTGGTATTGAATAAATGAATGAAGAGAGCACAAAGCATAGGTTTTATGATGGGATGTAGCAAGGACATTACTTTCGTAATGGGAGGAAAGAAAGTGCTACTAAAAAACACCTTGAGTTGAAAGTTCTTCCAGCTTATTATGTACATATGAAGACAGAAGAGTTCATGTTTAGGGAAGACACAAAAGAAACAATACGGCATTGCAAAGCACAAGGAATAACAGCCATAGTTTCAGTTTCTAATTTCAAGGGACTTAAGAATGGCAGTGTGATTAGTGGATGGGCTGGAGGATTTTTCTTAAAATCGTATAATGTAGCATATACACTTTTTCCCTTAGATTTATTTCTGTTAATATCTTTTGTGTGAAAACTGATGAAAATCATCACAGAGCAAACCCAACTAGTAGCTCCTTCTTTGGCTCCATCATCATAAATAAAACTGCAGAAATAAAAAAAGGAAAGAACACTGAGGTACGGGTAGGCTCTTTGTGATAGTATGTGCTTTTGGCAGTTACTGTTTTTCATTTCTCCAATTCATCCTTTATTCTGAAAAAAAAATAGGCTGCCTTACCTGGAACCTTTTTTGGAGAGAGAAAAGGTAGCCATTATTGCCTCTGTCCTTTTTCCCTCAGCGGCCCCACTGCAATTGTACAAATGTGTAGTTAGCACACTTCCCTTAAAATCTAAATATTGACTCTTTTCTTTTTTATTTTGCCTTTCCCTTTTTATTTTACAACTATATTCAAAAAATCAAAACTACTGCCTTAGCTCGCTCCTTTGTGGGAGAGACTTCTTGAGGTCACTATGACCAGATAGAAAAAGCAGGTACAGGAAGAAGAGACCATTTCCCAGTGTGATAAGGTATTGTTGCCATCATTTCCTCTTTTACCATTTACCAAAATCACTATCTAGGTGATATGCTCTGAGAGTAGAAGTGGCATGGAACCGGAATCAAAAGAAAACATTTTCCTGTATTAGTCCGTATAGATAGAAGTGCCCTCACCTACAACCAGCCAAGTATTAAGCCCTCTGTATTCAAAGTTCTTTGGAGACAAAAGGGGCAAAGAAAATGTGTATGATGGGATGAGGATATGATTAGGAAAACAAGTCTTCATTTTACCATAACCCAGAGAACATAAGCTTTAACAGCAATTACAAAATATAAGGTGCTTTGGTAAGTCTATAATCATATTTGGCTATCTACTAGAATAAATATGGGAAAAGTAGACTAAAATTGAGTTTCCAATGATATAGGGTTACAGTTATAAGTAGGCAGTATTTAACAAAAAGATGAATTACAATGGAAAAGAAAGAAAAGACAAGAACTAGGGCAATTCGTTTCTGAAGTGTTTATTGATTTGCCGAGTAGAGGCAAAGGCTGGGGAATTGCAGACATGTGACCAATTGATGTGAATGAGACACGACTCTCACATCATTGTTCTTGATGGTGTTAATTCTCATAATTGTGAAATTGTTACAAAAGAATAGGAAGCTATGATCCAGACTTCAGAGTTTTCTACTGTATCACACTTATGGTCAGGAATAAAACAAGTGATGCTTGCTATTAAGTTTAACACAGCCAGAAGAAACTTCTTCCTAATAGTTTTCTCTTGCTGAAAATCAGTTTAGGAGTCTGAGACAGATGGTCTGGTCTAGTGGTTAAGAGGGCTGACTCTACAGCCAGATAACTGGATATTGGATTCTGTCTTTAGCACTTATCTCTGTGACCTTGTTGCAGAAATAATAAGTTATTTTAATTTCATTTTGTCTCTGCTTTCCATAAAATGAGAGTTAAAATAACATCTCTGTCACAGCTACGCTGAAAATTAAATAAGCAAAGGCATTCAATGAGCTTGCAACAGCATAATTGGTTTACAACAAAGTGCTAAAAAAAAATAGATATCAATTTACTCACATACAAAATCTTCATATCTGAAAATAAAAATAATATGGAATATCTTGGGATATAATTTAAAGTACAAATGTAAAATTTGAAATAAAATTGTGTATCAGTAAGTTCTTATAAAATTATCAATTTATCTAGAAAAATAAAAGTGCAACTAAGAGGTAAGTGGAAGAGGAAATGGAATAGAGAACGTGGTACAATTGGAAAATTGTAAAAGGAAGAAAGGTGGCACTTGGTGATTTCAGCGAAAGAAGAGTGGATTCCAGGCCTGAGCAAAATTGTACATAATGATATCCCAGTATCCTTAGTGCCTGGAAATTCCTGGGAGCCAAACTCCAATGGTTTCTAGGCTCTGAACTTGTTAGATGCTCCCAGAAAATGTTTATGGTCTACCTTCAATCCCCTTACTCTAATATTTTTAATTAAATCAACCTTTTCCTTTTCATTCAGTTAGACTTAAAAATATAATTTATATTTATATATGGACATTTTTAAATATTATTTTATTTTACATGGTATCCTATCGTATTCTCAGATATAATTTTATTTTAAAATATTTTATTATTTTTAGTTTATGCATATGAATGTACTGCTTGCATGTGTGTAAGTGCACCCATGCTGTGCAATGTCCTTGGAGGTCAGAAGACAGCACTGGATTCCCTTGGAACTGCAGTTATAGACAGTTGTTAACTGCCATATGGGTGTTGGGAAATGAACAGATCCTCTGCAAGAGCAGCCATGCTCTTAACTGCTGAGCCATCTCTCCAGCCCCTCATATATAATTTTAGATGATATGTTGGAACTACCTACTATACCTGCCACCTCGCAGATACTATCTAATTTAATCCCCACAATAAACCACCAAAGAATTATATTCACTCATTTTTCTACCTTAAACAAGTGGCCTAGCTAGCTGAAACTCTAAAGAGTTAAGTAATTTAAAATGGTCCTACTCTAAATCAGCAGCAAGTTACCAAATCTAAATGATACTTTAAGCTAGATGCAGCTTTATTAGAATACAGCCTTACTGAAAAATAGTTAAGAAAAATAAAATGTAGCCACACTTAAATTAGTTTGACCTGAGACTGCATTGAATCAAGGAAGGCCACTTCCCAACACAATTCCAGGTCTCTGCCGCTTCATGATGCCAAGCACACAATGATTATCTCAGCGTCTGTCATTAATAAAAAATATAATATCCATGTCATTGTTGAATCCAGGGCTGTTGTAGAAACCAAAGACGATGAAGCATGTGAAAGTGATTCGATAAATTTACATCAAAAATTCAACTGTCTTTGAGTCATGTGCTTTTATAAATTCTGCGGGCGACATGCGCTTGTGAAGATGGGGAATTACTCTGCAGTGACCGAATTCTTTCTGGTGGGACTCTCCCAATACCCAGAACTCCAGCTTTCACTCTTTGTGCTCTGCCTCATCATGTACATGATAATCCTCCTAGGAAACAGTCTCCTCATTACCATCACAATCCTGGATTCCCGCCTCCACACACCCATGTACTTCTTTCTAGGAAATCTCTCCTTTTTGGACATCTGTTACACATCCTCATCCATTCCTCAAATGCTCATTATGTTTATGTCTGAGAGAAAATCCATCTCCTTCCTTGGTTGTGCTCTGCAAATGGTTATCTCTCTTGGCTTGGGCTCCACAGAGTGTGTCCTTCTGGCTGTGATGGCCTATGACAGGTATGCAGCCATTTGTAACCCACTAAGGTACCCCATAATCATGAACAGGGTGTTATATGTACACATGGCTGTGTGGTCCTGGGTCATAGGCTGTGTGAACTCTCTATTACAAACAGTTTTGACAATGGTGTTACCTTTCTGTGGTAATAATGTCATTGATCACCTAACCTGTGAGATCCTGGCTCTTCTTAAACTTGTGTGCTCAGATATCTCCATGAACGTTCTTATCATGACAGTGGCCAGCATTGTTTTGTTAGTGGTTCCTCTGCTGTTAATTTTTGTGTCCTATATTTTCATTCTTTCTTCCATCCTGAGAATTAATTCTGCTGAAGGAAGAAAGAAAGCATTTTCTACCTGCTCAGCCCACCTGACTGTGGTCATCCTATTCTACGGATCAGCCCTATTTATGTACATGAAGCCCAAGTCAAAATACACCAAAGCATCTGATGAAATCATTGGACTGTCTTACGGAGTGGTAACTCCAATGCTGAATCCCATCATATACAGTTTGAGGAATAAAGAGGTAAAAGAAGCTGTGAAGAAAATTTTGAGCAAACATTTGCATCTGTGGAAAATATGAAAGGCCTCGAGGCATGTGATACACGCAACTTGGGATCAGATGGGACGTTCTGTTCTCAAAGATAAAATCTGCTTGAAAGGCCAAACAAAGATGAGATTCCTGTTCTTTCCAGCACAATGTCATATAACCGGGCTGAATACCATCTTGCTTACAGACATTCTAACAGGTTCTTTACGGCTTTTCATTAGATGAGTCTTTTCCTCTCTGCTAGCTCCCTTCGCCCCCTATTTCTCTTCTCATTTTTGTCTCCCTCTTCCCTCTGCTGTTTCTTTCTTGTGCTTGCCCTCACCCCTCCATCATCTATTTCTTTTTTCTTTTGTCATCCTAGTCTCCTTTCTTGGGCATTTCCATTTAACACCCATTATTTCATTGTCTAGAATCCCCTGAAATGGTAGAAGAAAGTATTCTTTCTTTGGACAACTCTATAGTCCCTCCCTCTGAATCCATGTGTTCCTGGGAAAGGCTAATGCAATCCTTTGGAAATAGTGGTAAACACTGTGTATAGGCCTAGCCAATTAAGAAAATGTCTCAGCCCAGTGATCGATTCAACATAGCAGGTCAGCCAAGACAGGCAGATCACTCAGCTCCAGAATGCTGCCCCAGTTTGAGAAAGAAAGCCCTCTTTCTGCCAGAGTTGATGAAGAGGCAGGATTTGAGACCCAGTCTTTGCCAGCTCCTGGAAAATGCCTAACTGAAAAGGCAAGAGGGGGATTTGAGGAGAGAAGAGGTGTCCAATGCTCTCAGACAGCTGTGTCTAAAGCAAAATTCACAGCTATGCTTTTGGTGATGAGCCAATAATCTTTCTACAAAAAAAAATTTGGAATGGATTCTTACCACTTACAGTTAGACATTCCTAATTAAATATTTCTTCACCAACTCCTCATTACTGTTTCCCCCATTCCTATTTCTGAGGCAAGAAGTTCAAAAGATATTTTAAGTAGGCCTAAGTATCAAGCATTCATGGGTTCTTGTTTTATTTATATTTTTTAATTTTTTTTTTTTCTTTGTAAGACAGGATCACCCTGTGGCCCTAGCTGGGCTGGAACTCACCATGTAGACCACGCTGGCCTCCATCTCACAGAGATGCCTGTCCCTATCTCCCAAGTGCTAGGATTAAAGGTTGTCACCACCACATCTGGTGTGTTCTTTTTTTTTCGGTCTTTTTGAGACAGGGTCTCCCTGTAGCCCCAGCTGTCCTGGAACTCACTATGAGACCAGGCTGGCCTTGAACTCACAGAGATCCACCTGCCTCTGCCTCCCCAGCGCTGTGATTAAAGGCGTGTTGTTCTCTTTTTCTTAAAACTGTGTTTTTATTTAGATGCTTATCGTGTGTTCGAGTGCATGTGTGCTCACATGCCTTAACTCACATGCCAGTCAGAAGACAACTTGTAGGAGTCAGTTTTCTCCTTCAGCGATATGTGTTCCAGGGAGTTAACTCAGGTCAACAGGCTTGGCACTAAGTGTGCTCAGCTGATGAGCATTTCACCAGCTCTCCTTTTAATAACTAAATTATAATCTGATTTCTGTCCTCCATGCATGTAACTAGTCCCATCACCTCCCCAATACTTGCATAGGAATATTTACATTTTCCTGTGTTCTGACTTTCACTTTTGTTATCCCACCAGCTTCCTCACCAGAAATGATTTCAAAATATTGAAATCCAGTCTACAAGCTCCTTAAGTGATGTGTTCTGCTTGAAAAGTGCATCAAACTGTACCCTTGGGATTTCTTTTTTTTTAATACAAAGCAAATAAAGAACACAATTGGTTGTCTGCCTTTCAGTATAAGTATCGGAATTATCATCACAATCCTTCTTGCCAAATTATCATGATTAGAATCAAACAATCAGAAGTGCATTTAACGCCCTCTGCTCTGCCACAGCCACATAAAGATTTCATTGCATTCAGTTCACAGCTGCTCCAGAGCATCTTTTCCAACATTTCTTCTTACCCAATCTTCCTGCACTTTTCAACCTCTAGTCTTCTCCCCTCCTCAATCATGACAGTCTTTGTCATGCAAAATAGTCTGTCCTCCTAAGGCAAGGGATTTAGAGAAGGACTGGTTTTAAGGGTGTTGAGAAATTTGACCCTAAGATATAGGAGGGAAAAAAAATTCTCAAGTTAAGAGTTTTGTTCTAGGGGCTAGAGAGACAGCTCTGGGTAAAAGAGCACTTGTTATACAAGTAAGAGGAGCTGAATTCAGATCCCAGAACCCAAGAAAAAGCCAGAAATGATCTTACAGAAGCCTACAGCCCTGTGCTATGGAGGTGGAAACAGGAGGAACATTGTTGGAGCTTGTTGGCTTCAAGCCTAGTTGTTCAGTGAGAGACACTATCTAAAACGAACGAGGTGGGGAGTCACAGAGCAGGTCACATGATGCCTCCTGTGGCCTCCACATGTGCACAGAAGCATGTGTGTGCACATATGTATACGTACAACACACATACACCACACCCACACACACACAAAGAAATTTTGTCCTACAATAATAGTTATTGAAGCAAATCCTAAATTCAAAGTCACCTTGCACTACATAGGGAGACATATCACAAAAATAAGCAAAAATTAAAACAAAAGAACCATTGGTATCCAGAAAAAAAATTGACATTTATTTTAAATGTGTGTTGAATGACTGTATGAACAAATGTGTGATTGTCTTTCTTGGGCTAAAGTTAAATAAGGTTTTTGCCATTGCCTGAGGAATCCTTACAATTGTCATTATATCTAAAATTCCATAACAATGACCTATGTGCAAAAAGTCACCATTCCTCTCAAAGTGTCTCCTTTGACCTAAAAAGCCTTTTCATCATTCTAACATGACTCTCTCATCTTCTTCTTAAATTCCTACAGCAATGTAGTTAAGCATTGGTATATTTATTATAAAGATCTATGTTTTCTTTACATACACATCTATCTGTTGACTTATTGAAAGTTCACTGGGGGGAAATCTGTGAGTTATTGGCTTTGTAATCCCACAAATACTAAAAAACTGGTCTCATGGTAGATGATTCATTGGATTGTTATTTTGCTTTTTGTGTGGTCTATTTTTCTTCTTTTGATTTTTAATTTTTTTACGTATTTTTAATTTTTATGTGTATGAGTGTTTTGCCTACACATATGCACATGCAATACCTGCAGAGGCCAGAAGAGGGCATCAGATCCCCAGAACTGGAGTTACCAACCCCTATTTGTATTTTAACAGAATTTTATTTTCAAAAGAATATGGGCAATGTGACTGTAATATACGTAATAGATGCAACTACTGCATAATTTTGGTTAAAATGACATTCCCTCTGTTTTATATATGGATTTCTTCACTTTGGGCATCAGAAGATGTGTTGTAAGGTTGGAGAGATGGCTCAGTAATTAAGAGTACTGGCTGTTGTTGCAGAGGACCTGGGTTGGAATGCCAGCACCCACACGGCAGCTAACAACCATCTGGAACTCCAGATGAGATGCCCTCTTCTGGACTCCATGGACATTGCACAACATGGGTGCACTCATATACATGTAGCCATTTCACTCATACACATAAAATAGAAATGATAAATAAAATATTTTTTAAAAGAAAAGAAGAAGATGGATGGCAAAAGATTGGCAGAGTCTACCCAACCCAGTTAAACACAGTAATCCCTGAACTAGTTTACTAAGCTTGTAACTTGGCAATGACCAGAATAAAAAAGTTATTAATATATGGATTAGTGACTCCTATACATATCCCCAGCCCTGAGATCTAATCCAGTGGCCTTCCAAATATAATATTCCAAAACATAACCTTAATTTCTTACCTTCAAACTACTTTTCCTGGTCTTTCCCATCTCAGGAAGTGAAACACATCCAGCCTACCAACAAATTCTACCAATTTTACATTTAAAATCCACCACTTTGAATACTTCCTTACTGCTATCCTATTCCAAGCCACCATCATGTTACCCAGGCTGTGTAATATCTTTCTCTGTAACATCCTTGATTCTGCTTTTGTAGAATAATCCACGCTCTGAACATAGTCAAAATGTTAGGTTTCAAAGAGTGTACACTAAACTTACAGAACAGCAAAAACTAAAAGATGGTATTTTAAGAATCAGAAGAGTGTGGGACTGGAGAGATGGCTCAGTGGTTAAGAGGGCTGGCTGCACTTCCAGAGGACCCAGGTTCAGTTCTCAGTACTGACATGGCAGCTAACAACTGTCTGTAACTCCAATTCCAGAGATCCTATGCCCTCTTCTGGCCTGTGAATGCATTACATACACATAGTGTGCTTACATACAGGCAAACACTCATACATATTTAAAAAATAAAATAAAAAAGACTTTAAAAAAATCAAAACAATGGCTGCCTCTGTAGGGGAAGGGTCAGTTGAGATGGTACAAGAGGGAACTTTTCTGAAGTTAGCTTGATGTTCTATATGTTGAGAGGGATTCAAATGACATAGGCATGCATTTGTCAAGACTATGAATATTACATTAAGATTTGTGAATTTATAGCACATAAATTTTAAATTGGAAATAGAACCATAAATATTTAAGTGTAGTTAATGATTCACATGGTGAAATAGCTAAGAGAAAACTGTAATGATATCTACATTTACCTTAGAAATATATCCAAAATATGACTTAGCCTTAAAGGAGAAATAAAAAGAATAGATTCATAGATGTAAGCAGATCTAGTAAAATATGAATGACAAAATGAATAGACAGATAGATGATGTTTAATACAAACTTTCTTTAGTGCATCTTTATTTTTGAATTTTTTATGATAAATGTAATTTTATGAGGATAAATTATAGAAAGTTTGTCAAGGATATGGTTCTTAAATGAATTTTGTATCTGCACCTGAATTCAAAGGTAGAAATTAAATCCTACGTGGTATTATTATAAATTATCTTAACTTAGGAAAAATTTCTGGTATTTTAAAAATGTCAAAACTTTTTAATAGACTATTTACAACTCTTATAAGAGAAATTTTTAAAAATATAAAGAGTCCTATGAAAATGTTACTACA